AGTTGAGTGTAACTAGCCAGAGAGTGTGAGTATTTCAAGCATTCAGCAATAGAAGTTCCTCCATACCAAGGGTCCCAGAGAACAAAGAGGGAACTATTCGAATTAACAGCAAAAGAAATACAGTTTTGATATCAAATGCTTTATTGCAAATGAATTTCCATTACTGAGAGATGTTCACTGGCATAAAGTTCCACAGAGAGTTGTATTTGACCTTCCACCAACTAAAGAGCAAGTTGTTGTTATTAAGGAATCTCCAAATGATTGAATAAGCAAAATCGTGATAGAGAGAATCAATGGAGGGAATGCCCAGACATAGTAAAAAGTTTTCTATGATTGATGTTGTCAAAGAAAGTGAATCTAGAACACATGCAGCTAATAAGTTTGCAGCAGCTTTTAGGTATGATAGAGCCACGAATCCAGTAAGCAAGAGTGTTGCATATGGTGAATTTAATGTATTAGATTCTACCCGCAAAAGACAACGTTTTAGCTTTCCAACCATCTAATAGAGCAGTGATTTTGAGCAGTAAAGGTTGAAAATCAATCACTTTAAGTTTCTTGTAGAAAATAGGCAGGCCCAAGTATTTGATGGGGCAGTGGAATTGTTGTATGCTGAGGATGTCACAAAAATCCGCAGTATTAGGGGCGTTTTTAGAGAGCAAGATGGAGCTTTTGTGCGGATTAACATGTAGTCCTGAAACATAAGCAAAAGTTTTAAGAATGGAATTGAGGGTATGAGCATTGCTAATGGAGGCAGTGCCAAAGACAAGAAGGTCATCTGCAAACATAAGATGAGTAATGTTACAGTTCCCAGCAGATATACGCTTAAATAAATTGTTGGAATGGGCCATTTCAAAGCTAGAGGATAAACCATCCATGATGATAATAAAAAGGTATGGGGAGAGTGGGCAACCTTGCCTGATACCAGAAGTGGAGCAAAAGTAGCCTTCAAGCGCCCCATTAATTCAGATAGAGAAGTGAACATCAGTAGTGCAGGCTTTGATCCAAGAAATGAACATCTCAGGGAAACCTTTGGCCTCTAGTCTACTATACAGAAACTCTCTAGAGACAGTGTCAAAGGCCTTAGTGATATCAAATTTTGCACAGAAATATTTTTCCTTGGCTTTGAGATTGAAGTTTATGAGGAGATCATCAGCTAATAAAATGTTATCAGATATGATTCTCTTATGAATAAAACCACCTTGGCTAGGATGAATGATGTAAGGGAGCACATCCTTCATCCTATTGGCAATAAGCTTAGCAATAATCTTGTAAATAACATTGCAGAGGGCAATAGGTCTAAAATCTTTGACATTGTTGGCATGAGGATGCTTAGGGATAAGAGCTAAGGCAGTAGCTTTGACTTGATTTGGCATGTAACCAGTGTTAAAGAAAGAGGTAACTGCATTGCACAATTGGTGCTGTATGGTGTTCCAACTGGATCTATAGAATTCAAAAGTAAAACCGTCATGACTTTGCCAGAGAAAACAATGCTCTTAATTTCTTCCATGGTAACCGGTGCAATGAGAGAGTTTGCAAGATGGCTAGGTACCAAGTTCCCAGCAGGTATATCAAAATATTGTTGATCCATACTAGAGGGGCCTGGAGTGTTAAAAAGCTTGTGGTAATGGTTAGTGAAGACATTAACAGTGTCTTGATGAGAAGTAAAGGTTCCGAGCTCAGTAGTGATCTCCTTGATATGACTGTGGTTTTTGGAAATGTTTATTTTGGAGTATAGGAACCTTAAGTCATCCTCCCCGTGTGAAAGCCACTTCACCTTGTCTCTTTGAATGATCCAGCTAGTAAGAGTGGAATTGTAGTAGGCTAGCTTAGTGTTGATGGTCTTAAGATTGCTGTTGAGTTGGGAATCCAAAGGGTAGATTTGAATTTGAGTTATGATAGAGTGTTGTTGAGCCTTGAGAATGTCAATTTCAGTTTGGATGGAGTTGGCATTAGACTAAGCCTTGTGTTTCATGATATTTTTAAGAGTCTTGAGCTTATAGCAGAAAGAGCTTTAGGGGCTGCTTTTATTGGACATTGAAAACACCTCCATCAGGCTATTCCAAAAATCAGGAAATTTGGTACAATAATTTTTGTACAAGAATCTGTGCCCTCTCCTATTATCCGCGGCATTTATCAAAATTAAGGGGGAGTGGTCAGAACAATCAGGATCACCAACTCTATAAGAGTTGGGAAAGTTAACAAGCCAACTATCATTAACCAGAACCCGGTCTAGTTTAATATGAATGGGGTTTAGCTGTCGTTGATTATGCCAAGTGTAGAAGTGGCCAACAGAGGAGAGATCGTGCATCCCAGTGTTGAAAATCATGCTGTTGAAGTCTCCTAGATTCTGATCAGTAAGAGCAGTGCCCCCAACTTTTTCTCCCAAAGTACGACAACAATTAAAATCACCAATGATAGTCCAAGGAATATTAATGGAGTCAACAATATCTTGAATATTCTTCCACGGTATTTGTCTTTCCGAATGGGAGTTGCTAGCATAAACAATAGTTACAACACATATAGAGGTAGAGTTAACAGTAATCACGCCATGGATAAATTGGCTAGTCATGTGATGAGGAGTGAAATTCAATGCATCTTCATTCCATTTAACCTAGATGCGGCCAGGGCTAGAATGGAGAAAGTTGTCACAAGAGGCTTCCTTAGGAAAAATTTTGTGGTTGGCTTGAAACCAACGATTGGAGAGATTGGAGTGGGTGATTTTAGCTTCGAGAATGAAGAGGAGGCCAATCAGCCGACCCCACGTAGTGGGATAAAGGCTTGATGTTGTTGTTGTTGTTGTAATGAAGAGGAGGCCAATGTCATTGGCACGGGCAAGTTGCTTGCAGCAAGACACTTTGTCCGGGCTGTTAAACCCACGAATGTTCCAAGCTGCAATGTTAGATAGGTTCATTAGAATTTAGAGTTGGGGGTGGAGGCCTTTTTGGATTGCTTGCCTCTGGTTTGCTTATGGTTTTGATTAGCTTTTTGTTGGGTTTTTGTGGAATTGGAGCTAGAGGTGGATGCCTCATTGGAGAAAGGGGGAATGTTGGGTTGGTGATTACGGGGGGAGGTTTGGGGGGGACTACTATGGTTTGGGTTGTTGGGTACTTGGTTAGAAGTGTTATTTTGAAGAGAGGTAGAAGTGTGCACTTCTTCATGCTTGTCCTGATGAGACAAAGCATGGAATCGTTTTTTGTATTTATGAGAGGAGGCTCTTGAGGCTGCGGGTTGAGGTATGGGTCATCTTGTATTTCTTATGATGGGGAGTTTAAGTTTGGTAAGAGAGTACCAAAACTTTGATTTTGGGACAAAGGCAAGTTTTGTAATGGAGGAGGATTTGTGTTTGGTTGATTTAACTTGGTGGAGGAGGGGGTTTGAGAATGGTAAGTCTGGGAGGAGGGGTAAGGCGCGGCTTGCGACTGGAACTCCTTCCCCTAGGTTTATTAGTGACTTGGGGTTTGAGAATGAGATCTTTAGGGCAAAGTGTTGGGGGATGCATGATTGAGCCACATTGAGAACAGTGTTCGGGCTTCCAGTCGTATTGAACTCTTAAGGGTGTGGCTTTTCCGTCAACACTATAGAAGATTTCTTCAGGTAAGGGTGAGTTGCTAGTAACTTGAACAATACTCTAGCAAAAGTCAATCGAGTTTTAGCCGCATTAAGGGCATCAACAACAATGGGTATACCAACACAACTAGCAAGTTTAGATATACCTTCCGGCGTCCGGAGAGAGAGCGGCAAAATTCATGATTTTGATCCAAAGGGGGATAGAGGGGAATTCTTCATGCTTTGGAACAAAATCGAGAGTCCATTTTTGCTATATGAACTGCTTATCGAAGAAAAACCATGGTCCAACAGTCCAAGCATGCTCATAATCTTCCATAGCAGAGAATTTGAGTAAGAAGAAACCATTATCCATGGTGAGAAGAGACAATGAGCCTTTAAGATTCCAAGTTTTTTTAATCACCGAGAGCAAAGCTTCGTAAAAAGGTCGTTTGCCGATGGAATATCCAGCCAACGAAAGAGACCATTCAGGTGCTCCAGTGACAAATTGTTCGCTGGTAAACTGAGTTGTGAGGTTTTGGGTGGGGACAAAGGAGAGGGAATGAGAGAACTCAGTGGATACTTGAGGGGTGATGGTTAGGAGATTCTTCCAGAGTGGGAGAACAGCAGAAGCAGGGGTAGCCGTAGTGGTGGAGGTGGAAGGAAGCGGAAGAAAGTCGGGGTCGACCATGGGGAGAGATCCCCCCGCCAAGGAGGCGGCGATCAGAAGCAAAATAGGGGCGCCAAGAAAAACCCTAGCAGAGCTTGCAGAGAACCTTTGTAATAATGATATTATTGGTTCATATTCATATTCTAATTCTATTTTCATAGACTAAATTTTTTGTCCACATTCGCTTATTTAACACTTCACCTGGGCGTCGTTGCAGCGACCCTTGCACATTTCTCACTGTATTCGGATCATATAACACGTTACTTTCAGGGAACGTCCTAATGTTAACATAATATATTAAATAATTCACGCCATGATTATTTGACTAATTTTATACTGGCTATAGTCTACTTAACACAATCTGCCACTTTTCTCATTTAGGACTTTGGACAAGACAACAATAGTGTTAAATAACTGAAATTGAAACTACATAGCAAAAAATTGAAAACAATATAGTTTATCTAATTATTTGCTTGATGTTTTTGACAGAGTGTAAACATAAAATTCCCACGCTAGTGAATTCTAAAGAGGTGATAATAAAAAAAATAGAAAACACATTTTATTCTAATAAGATCCATCATTATAAGCTTTCTGCATCCAACAAACAGACAAGAAACAAAAACAATGAACCCAAAAAATTGAAATAGTATCATCACACATAATTTTTGTTTCTAATGACCAAGTCTTTTGGCTTTGCGTCAAGTGAGTATCAACTTATTTCTGACTGTACTATTCATTTTTCTCATTACGGCCTTGCTTATGTGAGGTATTATCTCTTCAATTTCAGTGCCAGAGATGAGGAGGAAATTGTTTCGTGCATCAATGAGCTAAACTCGCCTTGTTTCTATTCATCCATGGTGTCTTTGTGGGTAACAGACTCTTTCGAAAGGAAAAATGTGGAGAGAAATCTACTGGCCGAGCTTCTTGTGAACCTAAGCAAGACTCGACATGCCTTAATTAGTCCAACTCAACTGATTGCAGGGTATGAATACAAATACCAATATGCTGCAGAAATGATTAATTTCTGTTTTTGTTTCTACAAAACTTCTAAGTTTATCTTACTTTTTCCATCAGGTTTGAGTCTGTTCTCTCTTCATTAGAGGACGCTGTGAACGATGCTCCTAAAGCTGCAGAATTTCTTGGTCATATCTTCGGTAAAATCATAATTGAAAATGTGGTTCCGTTGAAAGAGATTGGAAGATTGATTCGTGAAGGTGGTGAAGAACCAGGAAGCCTGGTTGAATTCGGGCTTGCTTCAGAGGTCCTCTTTGGTATCTTGGACTTTATTAAGACAGAGAAAGGTGATTCTCTTTTAAATGAAATCCGCAGAGGATCCAATCTTCGACTGGAAGACTTCCGACCTCCAAACCCCACTCCCAAATCAAAGAAGCTGGATGCATTTCTGTAAAAGAGAAGGCATTCAAGCTTATAGGTTCCCTAAGGTACATTATCTATAAAAGCATTTTATTTATTAGATTCCTCATAGTTATAAGTTTTTGGCTTTCTCTTGTTTTGGGCTTATGTTGATATCCATTGATGAAAAGCTTATATGATGATGAAAATGCTTCAGTTCGAAGTAGAGACAGTGGAGGCCTTTGTAATTATGAGGAACAGTAAAAAATATTTTGCTAATTTTATAGAGATGATAATTCTATAGCTGTGTTATACATAAATTGTTGTTAGCCCCTCGGGCCCCTACCCATTCCCAAAGGAATGCTTTATTCAAGACTCGTTGCACTATACAAGGAAAGGTGTGCGATCTTCTCATAGACAGCGGGAAACAACGTTCTCTGTACACCCGCTGTCTATGAGAAGATCGCACACCTTTCCTTGTATAGTGCAACGAGTCTTGAATAAAGCATTCCTTTGGGAATGGGTAGGGGCCCGAGGGGCTAACAACAATTTCTGTATAACACAGAGGAGAGGATCACCTTCATCGCCGTGTACATCTTCGAAACATGTCTCCGAATCCTGTTCAGCAGACCCCACGTCTGCCTCAGTGTTGTGTGATTCTCCCTCAATCAATTGGATTCGTTGTCGATTCGGGCATTCATTGGACTTATGTCCAGGTTGAAAGCACCTGAAGCACTTGAGTGTTCCGGGTCGACTATAAGGATTTTCCTTAACTGGAGCATTCGGCCTGGGTTGTCCCTTAGTATCCACAGGAACGGCTGCAACTGGAGCTGGAGAATTAATAGAAGAACGGGAAGGCTGAGACGTCTGAAATGACTTGTGAGGCTGTGACAACTGCTTGGCATTATCAATGAAGGAATCTGACGAATGTTTACGAGCCGACTGGCTGCGAGAGTGTCGGAGGGCCTGGTTTTCAGCTTTCAAAGCGAAATTCACTGCTTGTGATAAGGTCCAGATGGAATTGAGCTCAAGTTTATCTTGTAAGACATCCTTCAAACCCCCAATATAGCGAGCCACCATTTGAGTCTCTGATTCCTGAAGGTTGTTTCTCGCACTCAACCGATAGAACTCCTCGGTGTAGTCACTCACCGATCGTTGGCCCTGCGCACACTGTTGATACTGGAGATACAACATTTGCTCATAGTCTGTTGGTAAGAAGTGACTTCGAAGTAACTGCTTCATTCTAGGCCAGTTTCGGATTGGTCCTCGTCCTTCCCGACGACGAGTTTGCAGCAATTGGAGCCACCAAGCGCTGGCTCCTCCTTTGAGTCGGCAAGCTACATACTTAACTTGCTTTTCGGGGCTGATCTCCATGTATTCAAAAAAGGATTCAACAGATCTCTCTCAATCAAGATAATCCTCAATGTGAAGTCGTCCCTCGAAAAAGGGAATGTCTAATTTGACACGGAACTCACCCGGATTACTGTGATGACGGCCATGATGGCGAGGCCGTTCGTAATATCGAAGTTGTTCTTCGTCTCCTGAACCGAAAGGGTCTCTGTAGTTTGGAAAATCAACTTCACCTTCAGAATCTGTAATTTCGGGCAATGTAGGTCGAGGAGGCCGACGAAGATCGGCTCGACCGTAGGGAACTCGCGGCGCTGGAATGGCCGCAGGTGGTGGTGGAACCAGATCGGGGACAGTGTTAACTGAAGCTCTGAGATCTAGCATCTCATTGCGCAATTCCGTGGAGATGCGGAGGAAGTCCGCTCTCAGTTCATTCAACTGCCGAGCGATGCTAACTTGCGTTGCCCACAAGGCGTCTAAGCTCCGATCGTCGTCAGGAACTCTGTGTGAAGACTCTGCAGCCATCGTCCAACGTTGGCTCTGATACCAACCTGAAGGAGTTCCTCTCAGCGAACGTCGGCGATCACCTGCAAGAGTGTTAAGAAAGACAAAAACAATGCAACAGTGGTAAAAGGGTTTGTATATTCTTCTATCTGTAATTTCTTTCTCAGCAGCATATATATGTCTCTATACCGAGACAGTCCTATAAACGTATAGGCGGTTAAAAAGAAAACAACAAACGTGCTTAACAGAAAGGGAAACAAGGATGGCAGCTGAGGTAGTGGAGAACGCAGACTAGATAAGATGTCTCGCAGACTAGGATAACCTCATCAGGTCTCCCCGTCTTCAGAAGAACTCGCCTCCGGCGAGGTTAAAGCAGTAGCGGCATCGTCAGGTGGATGATACTCATGAATATCCGACACATTGAACGTAGAGGACGTCTGAATACTGTCAGGCAGGTCAATGACGTAGGCATTGTCGTTGATTCTGCGCAAAATAGGAAAAAGGTCCAATTTTTCGGGGGCTGAGTTTGCCATAGGTACCTGTCGGAAAACGTTCTCGGCGAACACGAAGCATCACCAAATCACCTGGATTAAACGTTTTGTGCCTCCTGTGAGCATCCGCTCGTTTCTTGTAGTTCAGATTGGATTCATCCAGTTTGGAGTGGACTTCCTGGAGGATATTCTGAAAGCTTTCTATGGTCTGAGTGGCTGAGGTACTTCGACACTTGGGAAGAACGGCAATGTCAATCAGGTGATTTGGCATTTTTGTATAGACTATTTTGAAGGGACAATGGCCCGTAGACCTGTTTGGCATTGAATTAAATGCAAACTCAGCTTGGCTTAACATATCTTCCCACTTCTTAGGATGATCTTGTACGAGGCAACGCAGCATGTTGCCTAAGGTGCGGTTGACAACTTCCGTTTGCCCGTCCGTTTGAGGATGATAGGCTGAGCTTAACTTGAGCTCGGTGCGTAATCTTTTCCAGAGTTCCCGTCAAAAATGGCTAACAAACTTGACGTCGCGGTCTGAGGTGATACTACGGGGCAGCCCATGTAAGCGTACAATTTCTTTGAAAAATAGGCGAGCGACGTTAACAGCATCAAAGGTCTTCTTACATGCCACGAAGTGAGCCATCTTCGAAAATCGGTCGACGATGACCATAATTGAATCCACGCCACTTTTCGTTCTGGGGAGGCCAAGAACGAAGTCAATGCTAAGGTCTTCCCAGATGGAGTCGGGGGTGGGAAATGGCATATATAATCCCGTATTTTGTGCTATGCCTTTGTAAGACTGACAAACAGAACATCTCTCGACGAATTTAGCTACGTCGCGAGCAATCCGCGGCCAATAGAACCGAATTTGCAGCTGTGCTAGTGTTTTATCACGCCCGACATGCGCGGCCAGTCCACCGGAGTGAGTTTCTTTGATGAGCTGTTGACGCCACGATGAGTTGGGAATACATAGACTATTCCCTTTAAACAGGAAGCCATGGCGTATGCTGAAATCAGCAGCAGGAATACCATTTGCACATTGCGTCCAAAAGCTTGAAAAATCAGGATCCGTGGCATAGAGGGGCTTCATTTCCTGTAATCATGTAACCTCCGTTTGTAGTTTAACAAGCATGGCAGCCCTTCTACTTAAAGCATCGGCTACTCTGTTGAGTCGCCCCTCTTTGTGTTGAAGAACAAATGTGAACTTTTGGAGAAAAACGATCCAACGGGCATGCATACGATTGATGTTTTTCTGGTTATTAAGGTATTGGAGGGCTTGATTGTCACTGGATAGCACAAAATCCTGATGGAGCAAATAATGCTCCCACTGTTTCAAAGCCCGCACGACCGCATATAATTCCTGTTCATATGAAGACCACTTCTGTCGTGTAGAACTAAGCTTTTCGCTAAAGAATTCGATAGGCTTAGTCTCTTGTGATAGAACAGCTCCTATACCAACAGCTGACGCATCAGTGTCGACATGAAAGGGCTTATCAAAATTCGGAAGAGCCAAGACAGGGGCGGAGCACAGGGCAAGCTTGATGGCGTCAAAACTTTCCTGTTGGGCTGCTGTCCATGTGAAAGTACTGGATTTTAAACAATCTGTAAGCGGGGCAACAACCACACTGAACCCGCGTATAAAACGTCTGTAAAAATTGGCTAATCCATGAAAGCTCCTGATATCAAACAGGGAATTTGGCGTTGGCCAGTCGCGAATAGCAGCCACCTTTTTGCTGTCCACTTCTACTCCGTTGGCGGAGAGGATGAAGCCCAAGAACTGCACACTCGGAGAAGCGAATTGGCACTTGGGAAAATTGAGATAAAGCTTATGGTGGCGTAATGCCTGGAGTATGTCGGTCAAATGCTTTACATGATCTGAAAGGTTAGTACTAAAGACGAGGATGTCGTCGAAGTAAGCGACGCAAATTTTTCCAAGAAAAGGCTTCAAAACTTCATGCATTAATCGCATAAAAGTAGATGGTGCATTGCATAGCCCAAATGGCATTACCTTCCACTCGTAGAGTCCGTCGCGAGTCTTGAAGGCTGTTTTCCACTCGTCTCCAGGTTTGACGCGGATTTGGTGGTACCCGCTGCGAAGGTCCAGCTTAGAGAATATGGCGGCCCGATAGACGATCTAGCAAATCCGAAATACGTGGCACCGGAAAACGGTATTTTACCGTGATTTTGTTGATGGCTCTGCTGTCAATACAAAGCCGCCACTGTCCATCCTTCTTGGGAACAATCAAAGCGGGCACGGCACATGGGCTTAAACTGTGCTGGATCAGTTGTTTAGCCAATAATTCTTCCACGATTCCCTGCAGGATTGAATATTCTTTTGGGCTCATGCGATAATGCGGAAGATTGGGGAGTGTGGCACCCGGAACAAATTCAATTTGATGCTGTATGGTACGCACAGGAGGTAATGTAGATGGCAATTCGGATGGTAAGACATCTTGGAATTCTCTCAAGAGATTTTGAATTTCCGTAGGGTGTTCTGTGCAGCCCGTGCCATGGTGGTTGTTTGAAACAACTAGAGCCAAGCTTGCCTTCATATCCTGCTTATTCTGTAACAGAAGTTTGCTTGAAATAACATAAGCTGCCTTTTTATTTTTGTCAGGCCCAACTGACGAAGGATTGCTCGGACATAATCTGAGTTTCTTTCCCTTCCAGTCAATTATATAGACATTCTGTCTGCAATTATAAACGGCATCCGAATCGAATTGCCATGGCCTACCAAGAATAAGATGACATATATCCATGTCAATAACGTCGCAAATTACCTCACAGGCGTAATGTTTTCCAATGGAGAAGGATATTCGGCACATATCCGTGACGACGACTTCCATGCCTTTTTTTATCCAGCTCACTTTATATGGGTGGGGGTTACTAGTGGTCTTTAACTGTAAAGCTTGCACGACCGAGCGGGAAACAACGTTATAGTCGACCCGGAACACTCAAGTGCTTCAGGTGCTTTCAACCTGGACATAAGTCCAATGAATGCCCGAATCGACAACGAATCCAATTGATTGAGGGAGAATCACACAACACTGAGGCAGACGTGGGGTCTGCTGAACAGGATTCGGAGACATGTTTCGAAGATATACACGGCGATGAAGGTGATCCTCTCCTCTGTGTTATACATAAATTGTTGTTAGCCCCTCGGGCCCCTACCCATTCCCAAAGGAATGCTTTATTCAAGACTCGTTGCACTATACAAGGAAAGGTGTGCGATCTTCTCATAGACAGCGGGTGTACAGAGAACGTTGTTTCCCGCTGTCTATGAGAAGATCGCACACCTTTCCTTGTATAGTGATATACATCTCAAAATATTAAATTGATGAATTGACAATAAAATTACTTATCATATAATTAAATAAATAATTATAGCAAACAAAACATAAATATTCGGAGTACATGAGTAGTTGAGGTAGGCAATCATCCTATAGTTGAAATATATGGAGTTGATGAGAGTCTGGCATGGTTCCCACTCATTAATAGAATTCTACACTCCCCCTCAAGCTATAGAAATAAATGTTGATCAGCATACATTAAAAATTAAGCTATCGAATTGTGATTGATCAGAGGCTTTGTTCAAAATATCTACTAAAGTTTTGTTGGAGTGTATTGCATTTGAATGACCCCTTCAATCAAATGCATGTTTTTATGTAGATAGATTTGCCTTTTTTTATCTTATAATTTTCATACACTGAAAATATTTTATGGCTCCCATATCTTTATTTTCAAATTCATTTACTAAAATCCTTTTTAGGCTCTTGATTTCTACCCAATAATTACTAGTTAGATATATCATGGAATGGCTAAAATCCTTTTCAGTCTCTTGATTTTTATCTCATCATTACTAGTTAGAATAATAACATCCACATAAACAATCATAATAATCATTGACCAATATGTGATTGTGAGCTCCAAAAATTCACTCCCAGCTCTGTTGAGAGAGTTAAGTTCTAGGTCAACTTTTGAGAATGCATATTATATTGTGGATAAATATTATGTAAAGATTTCTCCCTAATTATGTGAAGAGTACTTTATGATCTGATTTTAGGTTTCCCGTTGGTGCAAGATTGAAGGACCAAGACAGATGTTCCCTAACATGATCACACTTTATTTGGGACAAGATACATATTAAGCATGTCTTATATATAATGTAGAATTTTCTTCAACACCTAGGAGGTAGTCCAACAATCTTTTTAGTGTTGTCAATCATATTCCCCAAAATCGAATCATAAAATTCAGTGTGAAGGGAAAAATGTAGTTATTCAATTCATATCACTAATAATTTTATTGAGAGATAAAGATTAAAATAAAGTTTAAGAACTAATAAAATTGAGTCAAGGGGCGGCACCCCTGTGGGGGTTTCTGGGGGCAGCGCCCCCGCAACAATTTTTATTGTAAGAGTAATTTTAAAACTTTCTCAGCTTGTTTATAGGCCCTAGCTTCTCGGTGCCGCTTGGTACCATTTGGCACCCCTCAATACAGAGCGATACCGAGCATGGTACCAAGCGATGCGGACAGGTACCGACTAGTACCGAGCGCCGAGTTTCGGTACTGAGCAATACCAAACGGTACCGATCATTGGTTTAGTTTTTTTTTTTAATTTTAAGAGGCGTTCTGCCTCGTAGAAATGTGGCGAGTCGTGCCTTCAGGCGCAACTCCGTTAAATTGAGGCGTACGCCTCATATTCCAGAAGGAAGGCTCAAGCTTTGAGGTTGAAACATGTGAAATTGCGCTGAGGCGCGCCTCTTATTGCGCAATTGTAAACCATGGTATAACTGTTATGTTATAATGGTGATTATCTACTGAGTTTACTATATAAACTCAAACTACTAATCTAAAATTTTCAGGCAAGTCTCATGATAAGTAGCTAGAAATGACTGAAAGAGAAGAATATGTCTATAGAAGATGATGATTGAATGAAAACAGGTAAAATGTGTTTATGTTTAAATGCATATTGAATGTAAAAGTAGTGTGAAAGCAGATAACATGTGTTTATGTTTAAATGCATATTCAATGTAAAAGTAGTTTTGGTAGCTCTTCAGTATTTGAGGAATATTAGTCATTACAGTTATGTGCAATTGTGGAAAATATATTAACCATCCAACTGTCAATTTCCGCCTCGTTAATTCGAGTCTCCAGACAGGGTCATGACATTCTTCTTATTCTTCTTCTTCTTCTTCTTCTTCTTTCCTTCTTCTTTCTTTCTTTTTCTTCTTTCTTCTTCTCCATTTCCCTCCATTTTCTCCCTCCATTTCTTCTTCTCTTTCTTCATTTCCTCTCTTCTTCATCTTCTGCTTCTCCATCTTCTTCTTCTTCCTCCTCCTTCCCTCAAATTGATTTCTTGCCGTCCATCACTAGAATCCCACATCTACCTTCACAAAAAAGTCTTCCCTACACCTACTACACCTTCTCCATCAAAAAGCCCCATCTAAATCCACTTTATCTCTCTAGACATAGAGAAAGAAAATTGTTCTCTATAAAAAAAGAGAAAATTCATGATTTTACCTTCCAAACTTGTGGGACCCGCTAAGCCAAAATCCAAATACAAAGTGACAAGTGGAGGAGTCACGGATGCACAAGTGATTAAGTAGCTTGCACGCCAGCTATTAAAGTTCGGAGACTCGTACGCCCTGTGAATGTGTCGTACATCCCATGAACATTTGCTTTTACAAAAAAATAAAATAGTACACTATTATGTGTCGTGTACGACCCCTTCATTAAAATGCACATAACGCCAAATCACTGAAGGGTGTCATCTACGAGTCCTCTATTGTATAATGTGTATGTACCAAATACATATAGATGGATCGAGGGCACATATGCATACCTCCCATCATACAAGCGCACTAAGCAACATGCATACATGTTGTTGATCATGCAAACCACTTCCTACATATGCCTATGATCATGCCGTTATGCAAGTGCATCCAAATTCGTGCAGGTCTGTCACACAAACATGTTAAGCAAAATATGTGAGTACACTGCACGAGTGCATTATACAAATGCAATTATATTATACACACATTCTTAACAGCATGAAAGGTATATGCAAATACATAAGTATACGTACAAACATGTAAATGCATAGGTAAGCATACAAATATATAAATACAAGTGCAAATAAGTATGTGAACATGCATATACATCATACACACCCATTGTGTCGCATGCATGTATACCATGAAATGTCTAAAATATATTATGCAATGCACATCATTCAACGTACAAATGCATTATATATCGTAGTGGTGCATTATATCAATATAAATATATTATACGTTATGCAAATGAATTAAGCCACCATGCAAATACATCATACATAGTATTGTCCAATAATGCAATGTAAATATACACTATCTCATCTGTGAGTGCATTATGCAAAATGTACTGAAAAACGCATTAATCGTATGAGCCTCGACGAGCGTGACACATACACATGTCGTGTGAGGATGCTGTGCAGACTAAAGAAATAATGAATGAATTTTCAAGCGTACAAAATACATTGTATAAGCATGCTGACATACACAGAACTATCTTTTAAAATGAAATTTAAAATACCCACATGTGCTCCGACAAGTGCGTTATACTCCTAAAATCTTGCCTTAGAATATTGCGCGGGTCAAAAGTGAACTTAAGTTCAACTCCAATCCTCTTTGAATGGACCAGAGTTGACAAGACTTGAACCATCGAACAAATACACTATCATAAAAACAACCAGATTATTTAGTTTTATACGTTCATATTAGGCCTTCAAGATCTATTACAAGAAAGGTTCACTGCTAAAAACATAAACTCTCAGAACCAACACTCGTTGAGGTTAACCAAATTATTTAATTTTATATGTTCATATTAGACCTCAAGGTCTTTTATGAAAAAAATTCACATTAAAAATAAATACCTCCGGTTCTAATATCTACACGATCACTTCAAAAATTAGAGCTGAACTCAATCCTCTATTCTCAAGCAAACATAGTCGACAAGATTAGACTAATGAAATGAAATTACTCATAATTTTCGATGATGGCCGTGTTGAATGTAAATCTCAAGCGGATGGGCCAAAACAAATTTAAAAAAAAGCCCCCAAATCTCGAAGTTAATTATTCGAAACTTTATCTTAAATAAAAAATTCAAATCTATTGCTCTTTAAAAAAAATCAAAATATCTAATCAAAATAAATCACCCAAACACTTAAAAGCAATAATACATCCACATTTCGAAACAGTTTATCAAACTAGATAAATTTGAAAAATCACTTCAGCTAATAAAAAGTAAATGTTAAGTCGAAAATATCACTAGGATTCATTCTCAAACCATCTACTACTAATAAGGACATGGCACGTGTCCTCTAACCTATGATTTCGCCACCAAATGACACCACAAGTAAACGGTTATGACTGGGGCCCTCTAACTGGGTGACTTTGCTGCCAAATAGTATCACTAAATTATGGTCATGGCTAGAGACCAAATATTTCCCAACGGCTCTAAATATTTGAGTAACGAATCAATAGGGTATAATCGATATGACACATAGTCGTCGGATGAAGCAACCCATGGCTTCCAACAAGGATCTTTCGGTTAGGTTGAGTCGATTACCTCCTCTAAGTAGACTAGGGACCATGATGGTCTAGGATGACGGAACCATGGGAACTTGATTGGGCTCATCATCATTCCCCCCACCATCCATTTTAAGTGCGCAGTGATAAATTTTCAACCTTCACATCTAATTCTACTGCTACAATACGCTGGATACTATGTATATGTTCAATGACTAGCATTAATCAAAAGTTTTCTCTCATTACCGAGAGGGGTAATTAACTATAGCGGCTTGCACCTATAGGAAACAAGAACTCAGATCATAAAGTCCTCACAAAATGAGAGTGAAATCTCTAGGTAGTGCCTTATCTAAAAACCCAATATGCGTTCTGAAAATTTACCCCGGAACTTAAACTCGTTTAAACTCTCCTTGTCGACACAAAAAAGAAAGGGGTTGCGGAACAACTTCCAATTCCAATTTTCGGTTTTTACTTGGGCGAGCTTATTTAGGAATCAACTTTACATGTACATAAAATATCTTCCAGGTTCAATCTAGACAACTCATGAATTCCTAGGTAGAAAACTAACTATACAACAATAACATGTTGGTGCAAATCAGGATATGCAGTCAAATTTTTTGGCACATGCTGAAAATGATTATTTAGAAGTTAAGCTTTTTTAACAATTTTCAATTTTTGTTTTCAATAAAGTCAATAAAGGCAACATTGAACAAAATAAAGTTTCTCTGACTACTTACATTGTCTAGCTTACAAAACTTTTCTGATTCCTCAGCTTGTTTTTTCTCCCATTCTTTCTTGCCTTTTTGATTCATAGTCAAAATCTGGTGCTGGATATCAGAAGTGACAACAAGTTTGTGCCTCTTGTTCTCAATGTCAACCCTCTAAAGGCATTTGAATGAAATATGTGAGGTGAAACATGACAAAGACTACGGAAAGAAAAAAATGATATCAACCTGCTTAGATAATCTTATCGAATTGCCTATGAAGCTCCGCAAACGTTCCTCTACACACTGAAGAAGTTGCTCGAGTTAGATCAAGAACTTTAAGTGACTTGAGTACAATTGCTCAAGTGACATCTCACCATAGATAGACAATACTCCACGTCTTTACTTATACCTCCTAAACCACATCTGGAAACTAAAAAAGACACAAATAAGTAGTTGCCTGCTATTTCCACCACTTCGAAAATGTCATAAAAAGGTAACTTAGTTCAGGAAAAAAAAGGTAATTACTGATTTGCGTCAGCTTTTTCTGTATAGGTCCCTTCTGCAGAATTGATTTTTCTTCTTCCTCTCGTACAACTCTTTGAATTGCCTCTGAAGCTTGTGTTCCTTCTGTCCGAGCAACAAGTAGTTGCTCCTCTTCTGCCTGTTATAAATAAAGAGAAACTTCATGTCGGATTAAAAATACAAAAAATGTATGTACCTCAATAAAAAGGATAAGATCATAGATAACTAATTAACCAAAGAATCTTATTGAATATGATCAGGATGGCCTCATACCCTTAGATTGACTCCACTGACAGCAGTCACATCATTAAGCTGTTCAATGCTTTGATCCAGGAAAGCTCCACTAGTTTTCAGCTGTTTACTATTAAACATCACTTTGAATCAGATAATCACATAAAGGAAATATTTAATAGGTTTTTGCTGAAATCAAGATATCTAAAAAATGATTAGTGGAACTGTTCACCTTGCTTGGGGTTGGGAGTTCCCTGAAGTTTCAAGCGTCTTTTTCTTACCAATGGGAGGTTTCTTTGGAGGAAATTTTATGCTTGTTCCACAAATTAGAGAGAGACTTTGAGATTGTGACTGCACTGGATTCTAAATGTAGTTGAAGAAAAGAATCAGAAAATATTTGATAAAAAAAATTATCTGGAGAACAACAACAGTATTATTGAATTGAAGCTCCAAAATTCAAAGAGAAAAAATAAAATACACACAAAAACACATGAATTTAATGTTTCGGCAATCCACCTATATCCACAGAGGCAACAAATGCACTATAAACTCAAAGAAGTTTGCAAAAAATTCAAAATTTATCTCAAGATCTTATCATGTATGCAAAGTTACTACATGATTGAGGGATTTCCTGCGGAATGATTTACAAGTGAGGTGTGCATGGGTTTATATAAGAATTCAACCATTGTTCCATCTTTCCAACATTTGGCATTAATGATCAGCCACCATGAAGGACTTCTGTGGTTGCTTCTATTATGGACTGCTTATGCAGCCGAGCCACCACTCCAACAATAGTCACCTTAGTAAGCTTCCTCTAAAAATGATGTCGTCTCTTTTATGTCCTTAAGCGTCAGGAACTCGAGAGATGTTGATTAAGTCCAAATAATATATGAACTTGATCCTTGTAATTAGAAGGGGAAGAGGCAGCCATGGTAAACAGTCAGGGAAGAAACCTAAGAGCCACTAGGGGGAGGGAATGAACCTAATAAAGTTTAGTAATGAGCTGAATTAAGTAATGAACTCAACAGCTCACCAAAAATAGCCAAAAAACCAAGCAATCAAGTCCAAACCGAGAGGCAACAAGCAGCCCAAAGGCCAAGGCATAACATAACATGTTTTGAGCCCCCCCCCCCCATACATCAAGAAGGGTACTATATCCCATCATTTAACTTAAGCAGAAGAAATAAGTTCCATTTGATATCGACAGATGTGGATCAAAATTGTCAGAGCAACAAAGTTATTAAGTTAACAATAACAGACCGATATACCATCACAATGCAGTGATCATTTTAGTTGTTTATCCACTACATATTATGCTGCGAATGTATCAAAATTGAAGTAGAACATAAGAATGTAAATATTCAATGGTGAATTGAGGTAAGACTATACCTTGTTGCAGAAAATAAATTTGGACCGAAAATGCTAACCTGCATTATTGAATCGGTAACAACCGCTGTAGGGCTTGTCGTTTTACCTATAGCTGATGAGTTAATAAGACAACATGCATTAGAAAACTTCTTTTCATGTAATTCATCTGATGTAGTGGATCGTCGGAAGACTCGACCTGCAAGAAGGATTTTTTTGGCTCCCAATCCAGGGAAGAAGAGAAACAAGCTTCAAAAAGCTTCAAAGAGTATATTATATCATTCAATGGCTTTCCCTACTACAATGCATACATATATATAACCCATATATAGAATATTCTAGAGAAACTTGTAACAAACTAGATAAGCTATTCCTAAGGATGACTATTAGCTATAATGTTCCACATCATTCTCCCCATGAATAAAAAGAGCTCGACTCCGTTCGAGGCTCGTTAATTAGAAGGGAGGTAGGGTGGCAACAAATTCCTGGATCGAAGACTTTGAATGCGGACTTTAAAATTACCACATGAAGAGGTTTTCCCCAATCCAAGGGATGAGGTTGAACTTTGGAATCCTTAAATTGATCTAGCATTTCAGTTTGCCAATTGGTTGGTGAATATGAGTTCTCGTCACATAACCAATCCCATTCCCTAATTCCACAAGATAGAGAGGCGAGCATGTTCTCCCATTTAGTTTTCGGCACATCCATGACCTCAATAACTCTGTGAGCTCTGAGAAGTCCATTGACAAGTGCACTGTATGAAACTACATCAGGAGAGATCCCCCCTATAATAATATCATCGAAGTAACTGCAGGCAAGCCCAATTCGGCCAGTCTTACAATAGTGGTGTACCCTAATGCAGTATGCATTAGCATTGGGGATTACGCCAACCTTGAACATCTGATCGAAAAGCTCCTCTGCAATTTCAGCATTTCCAGCTATCAAAAACCCATTAATCAGAGTGTCATATGTTACTGTATCTGGTTGTATCCCCTTAAGACTCATTCCCTTGAACAGCTTGTGTGCAATTGATGTCTTGCTGGCTCTACAGAGACCATCAATTAGAAGGTTGCAAGATACCATATCACAAAGACCTTCCATCTCCATCATATTAGCAAACAACTTATAAGCTTTTTCAATCTGTTTAGCCTTGCAAAGACCCTTAAGTAGTTGATTGTAACTGTAGCTATCAGGATTAATCCCTGAATTTTCCATAGATTGTTTATCGTTCAACTTCTCATTATATTCGGATTTGGCAACAGCCAAGAACTGCTCCCACTTATTTTCTCCAGCGCCCATATCATTAACAATACAATGCCGCATCAATCTAGGATCGAACCCTTCATTGACATTATATCGAGCAGTTGGGGAGCATTGCAGATAATCAGCTTTGTCAGCGAAATTCAGATAGGGCATGTTCACACCTGCAGGGAAAACATTCCTAATAAAAAGAATATAGTTGGCATTCAGTTCAATCTCCCCATTTCCATGATCTAATTTTTCCACCATTACTGTGGCTTCTCCACGATCAAGTGGCTGTCTCCCTGTGTTGAATGGCGTCACCCTTGCAGGAACTGATGTAGGAATTGATATAGGTGCATTGCTCTCTTTCATCACCATCACAATAGAAACATAGGATTTCTTGTGTTCTTGTTCATTTGAAAAACCCGGAACAGTTACTACAGCATGAGAATCATTTGGAACTTCTTTACTCACCTCCTCTACCGGATCTTCATCTTCAACAGTTGAAGCTTCCACAGGTTCTGAAGGATCATAAGCTTCCTCATCATTCACGACATCCTCTTCTGGTCTAGCGGCAGTTTGCTCAATATCAGTTTCTTCCTGTGAAGGGACGGAGTCATTCTCCGTGATCTGAGCACCAGCATCTTGGGTAAGACCCTGCTCGTGAAATGAAGTGGCGGAAAGACAGGAATCAGGGCGTGAGAGATCGGGCTCAACACCTCTAGCGAGATCGCCAGACTGGCGCTGCCAAGGAGCGGAGTCGCCAGAGACCGGCGCTAGATACCCGCCTTACATGTGTGGGTTTCTTCCGGGAAGGGAATGTCTCCAACGCTGCCTGTGGTGGAGACGACGGCTTGGCCGATGGGGCATCGTTGGGGACCTTGACGACCTCCAGTAGCTTATCCGTCCCGGTGGATTCCGCAATGTCCGTGGGATTTTGAGGAGTGGAAGGAGTCGCGGGAGGTGTGGAAAGGGAGGATGCAGCTGCATCGACGGAGTCGAAATCAGCGATGGAAGAGCTTTGTTGGAACGGCTTCAGCTTATTGCTCTGATTGTGATTAGCGATCTGTTGCATCTCGCGTGGACGCGAGGAGTTGGGAGTCGGAAGGTGTTGGAATGGAGAGGGATCGCGCCATCGCAACAGAAGCTCGAGCGGCGTATACTCCGGCAGCGGATCACGTCATCGGAGAGGGAGTTCGAGCGGGATGTAGTCATCAATGACGGTGGGAGTATGGCGGGACTGATGGCGTTTGCGTGGAGCGGACGAGGAGAGCGAAGAAGAAGAAGAATACCTCGATATGGTTGCCGACGACATTCGCATCTTCCTTATTGCCCGAAGGTTCCTATCGATCCGATCCAGAGAATCCTTCGCTTGAGCTTGATAGAAGGCGATCCGGCTTCGAGCATCGTCGACAGCCCACCTTCCTTGGCGTCGATCGTCGTCAACCGCCAATCTTATTTTGCGGCTTCGATCGTCGTCGACAGCCGACCTTCTTCCGCAGTTCATCGATCTTCGCAAGTTCCAGGCTCTGATACCAACTGATGTAGTGGATCGTCGAAAGACTCGACCTGCAAGAAGAATTTTTTTGGCTCCCAATCCAGGGAAGAAGAGAAACAAGCTTTAAAAAGTATATCATTCAATGATTTTCCCTACTACAATGCATACATATATATAACCCATATATAGAATATTCTAAAGAAACTTGTAACAAACTAGATAAGCTATTCCTAAGGAGGACTATTAGCTATAATGTTCCACATCATCATCCTTCAAAGTTTTGTGTCATTTGTGCCCATAAATTGAGGCTACAATATTTTCTAGCACTGAAAACTGATGTTTCTTTAGAAATTCAAGATTATGGCCTATAGAATTTTTCGATACATAGTCTGTTGTTTGTGAACCACAAGCACTTCAATGATAACGTTAGATGATAACGTTTGTTCTGTAATTTGTTTATGAAGCTGATTCAGCATCTGAGAAGTAGATTTATAATGCATATTCTTATGATTCTTTACAACTTTGTACAGCTCATAGTTTTGAATAGTTGCAATATTTATGGGCTGAGTTGGCACTACTTTTGAAGAAGCAATAGATGGGTTTACTGTTGGTTTCATCATTTGTACACTTTGATTATGCAGTTTAAGTGAAGTTGATGTGGTGTTAATGGACAGCCTAATATATGCATGATCTTGAAAACTACTTTCACACATTGAAAATAATGTTTGTACCGTTGGTGGATGTTGTTGTGCATTGCTAAGTGTTTTCGTATAACCCTTTGATAATGATCCCAAATTGTTAATTGTACTACCAGTAGTTGCATATGCTTGAGCAACATGTCCTCCCTTCACATCTATCTTACACTCCGGAACAACCGGAGCATGTGATAAATATTTCTTTTGATTCAACTCCCAAGTAGCTTGAGCTTGTAGCTGTTGCAAGAGGAAAAGAAATGGGGAAGATAATATATACTTAGCAGGCCAATTTTAGATTGATGGATGTTATACTTTAACATGAATAACTTCACCAATTGAACTAACAAATTTGAGCTATAAATATCTAACTGAACACAAAAAATAAATTCCACTAAATCATTCATCTACATACCTGCATCTGCGCTGGATGGACTGCAGCCTCTCTTCTAATCATTCGGTCCCCAACAACTTTCTTGCAAACTTTTAAGTAGTTCTCATTACTAATTTCATTATTCTACAAATAAAAAAACATCAAGTAGAAGTTCAGGATTTTTTCCATATGAAATGAAACTTTGGTCTAAGGAAATTTTATATCGAATATGGCAAAAAAAATTAGTGCATACATATAATCATTAAACTCACTTAAAGTATTAGTCAGTTATGTTATAACAAAATTAAACAAGTATATCGTTATGTTCATGGATAAGTAAAGTTAGATCACCAAGCCTAACTTAAAATACCATTTATGTCATTATTAACCACTTAACCAAACTAGAGAAAGAAAAATCAATAAATCATTGTTCTTTTAAGTTTCAATTGCCAATGATCATATAATTCACACTCACAATTTATTTCAAAGTACTATTATCTTAGCTTTGGCATTATCATGTAGATTGAGAACAGTAAC